AAGTATATTTGCCGGTTCCAATGAGTGGAGACAACAAATGGACTTTAAACAAAGATCATATTAGACTAGCTCTTAGAAAAGTGGTAAGTTTGTTACATTGAACTAGTGCTTAAAAGTTGTTGTCAGTTAGTGCCATTGAACTAGCTTGTTATCGCTACGGTCTGATCACAGCCTTTCGGTTTAAATTTGGTTCCAGCATGTCAGTGATGCAGATCAGAAGGGTTGACATAGGAAAATGTGATATCATTAGGCCAATGCTGCTCCTTATTGCACACTGTATGGCTTTGCTCCTTTCATAAGCTCCATCAGTTAAAACTCCATTTCATTCTATATTTTAGGGTGTTGAAGCTGAACAAGATACAATAACACTGCTCCACTCATCAATCACAGAACCACAAGAATTTAAATTTGAAATTTCTGTAAGTTCTTTCATTTTTAGAATTTTTCTATGTTGAAATGCAGGAATGAAGGTACTGAAATAATGTTCTTAGCTCAGTGGACACTTTGAAGTATTAGAGATTTGTCTAGTTATAAGAACCTGTATCCCTTTTCAATTGCTTTACTCTGTGCTTTGAGTTAAGCCCTAAGCCATGTTGTCTTATGTTGGTTGGTTGGTTGGTAGATGACAAGTTAACATCCTCTGCCAGCAGCAACTGATATTGCAGGCTCTTGTCAATGTATACTATTTATTTTTTGTTTTTTAGGTTATGGGATTGGATCCAATAACAGTTGATGGTCATATTTACTTAGTATATAAAAATGCAGCCAAAAATATGGCTGCCTTGGACCTCCCACCTGTCTGGAAGACCACAGTAAAGAAGCCCAAAGACAGTGATCAATTGGAAGCGGAAGGTAGTGAAAGACTAGCTAGTGACACATTAGACAGTGACTCCTCGTCAGATGATGAGGCAAGTCCTAAATTATCAAAGGATGTTGACTATTCAAAGAAATTATTCACAGAAGATGAAAGTCCAGAAGATCCTGATAAAAAGTGATCCAGTGTGTTTTAGTTTTCCCAATAGTAAAAGTCATATATACAATTATTAAAACCATATTTGTTGTTGTTTTCTTTGACCCATGTAGACTTACATCTTGTATTACACCTCCTCACTGAAAGAAAAATGCCGATGCCTGTGCCAATGCTTCCAAGATTATCTCTGGTGTCTGCTGTCACCCCCCCTATCACCATAGAATGCTTCAGCCCTATTTATGTTCGCGGTCTTCTGTTAGGCAGGACACAATGTTATGGGCAGTTAAGTCACCCCTATTTCTTCTAACCAAAAGGCAGATGGCTCGATGATATTGACACTGATTGAAAGATTGAGGAAGATCTCAATGAATATTTGGGGGTTCTAGGTACATGACTGCATGTCTAGCATTCTACGTCTTTCCTTGAATGGGTTCCTCCACCTTGGCCGTTCTGCTTTTAACTATGCATCAGTACACTGCAAACGTACTTCTCATTAACCAAAATACGCAATCGGACATTAAAAAACAACAGATAAATAATGGCAAGTTTTATTCAGACAAGAAATGTAATTTCTGTAAAGAGTCTATAAAACATTTCAAAATTGTTGTTCATTTATCGCTACTGGATCTGTATTTTGATCTAGCTATGTACTAGTCCATTTTCTTTCTCAGGTGGCGACATCTCATGTTGGTAGGTGCCTTTTTCGTCCTTGAATCTTCGTCATTTGATTGCTTGTACTAACTCACGACAAAAGCGAACATTGGACAAAATTCTAACATTAAAATGCCGAATATCAACTATTCGCTACAATTCTGCTTATGACAACTGTCAGGTCTTTTAGAATTCTGGTCCCTGATGATGGGTAAGTCCTTCATTCATCTCAATCGTAGTTATAATGCCGGAATTTACGTTTTCAATCTGAAATCGGAAAAATTCTTGACAAAGTCAGCCATTTTGTTTGTTTACATCTAGACTTGATTATCAAAAATGTAGTTCTATGAACAAGTAAGTCTGGATAATCATGTATTCGGAGTCTGCTTTTTTCTATTTATAAAGACTAACCACGCCCACGTGTTTCGCTACTAGGCCGTCATTCAAAGCCAAATTTGTATTTTCAAGGGGGCTAGGACGAAGATAAATGATTGATTTGTTGTGTTAGAGTCCCTAAAAGTCAAACAAATAAGCAATTTGGTCAAAAACATCGAAACAAACACGCTATAACCAAAGCAAAACACACCAGCGCTACTATGTATTTATTAGTCTTATCCGAGCAAATCAAAACATGGTCTAAGGGAGAGAACTCCATTTAACAAAGTTGTTGACTTCGGTGGTGAAAAGACGCCTCTATTAGACTTGATTGTCAAACAAAGTAAATTACCGCAGTATGTTAACACGTGACTTCCGTTGTAAACAATATGGCGGCATTTGGTAAAAATTTAAATCATTCAAAGCACATTTTGCAAGAAAATGACTTCATACAGCTCTATTTACTCGATTAAAGGTTATGGATACAGTCCTTGGCCACATTTCTTTCATTCTGGTTATCTTTTAACGAGTAGGTTGTTTCTATTTATGAATTTCATGCGAGAGAACTTGAAACTTAACATTGTCAGTGTGATGCGGAATTCCAATCCCAGACCCAAAGTTCCTCTAGGTACCAGTCAGTCCCAGTCAGTCCAACACACTCGTACCGCTCGTTCGTAGAGTTCTCTACCATTAACTTCTTAGTCATAAATAATCTCTAGCACAGCTTTATTTATCACAAACACATTATTCCATAATATAACTCAGTACTTGGAATAATTCTATGTATTTACAATGTCCTGCTTTTTTTGGTACCAGAATGTGCCTTTTGTGTACCATATGTAAAATGTAATGTGTAAAATTATTTATCTTGATTCTTATTGCATATTTTTATTTCTTTTTCAGGTGATTCTGATATAAGAAATATGCCAACAGATACAACTGAATCTAAATCTTAAATTGTAAATACTGAATAAAAATGTGTTCCAAATTTAACTTTTTTCACTCTTAATTTTGTATTGTTAATGGCTCTTTGTAGAGTTTTACCTTTTGGCTCTGGGGTCTGCATTTTGCTTTTGCTAGCAAGGCAGATAGAAAGGGTATGCTAACCCGTTCAGGAACTATTGTGCTACCTCTGCATCTTTCTTTCGGAGTACCTCAACATACACAATGATATGTGGTGTTTCTATGAATCCTGGGATTGGGATGCCAAGTCAATGGGGCTCAGACAATTCCTTCCCTATGTAAAATGAATTGTGCACAAACCACATAACACATAGGGATACATGGTGGATGCGCGACATATTGATCAAATAGCAAACCATGATAGAGGACAAAATTGTACGAAAAATACTTTTTAAACCTGCCAAATCAAATATGGTCTAAGGGGGGTAAATACATTTAATCAAATCATTTCCAAACAACAGTTAAATAGTTATAACGCGGATTATTACAAAAACTTAAAATTCTGAATTTTTAATTCGAAGATTCAATATCCTCTTAGCTAATATCATTTTATATATATAGGAATTGACATGTACAATTGTTTTATTATATGTTTTGAAGAGTGGTGTGTGCATAGTATATGAGGAATTTAACACAAATACAATATAGTTATTATTATACTCTTACCTTCAATTTTACTTACTATCTTGTGGACTTGAACTCGCATAGCTGGACGACGATGGCGGACGAACGCGTTTATCGATTGAGACATCGCACTTGACTGAATACTGCTTGTCGACTTTAAGATTATATGATTTAATTTTGTAGAAGATGAGATAAGAAAAATCCTACTGGTTGTTCCAAGAGACTGGATATCATAGTCTAGTCGGGCTAGGTCAACTGGTGAACTCTACGCACGTGCTTTTCTTGATAGCTCAGTGGTTAAAGTGTTGATCTCTTCTGTCTATATTATAGTGGTGGGTTCGAATCCCGGAGTGAGAATTGATTTGATGTGTATTTTATTCAGAAATTTATTTTATAAAACCACATTCCTTTTGAGGCCAATGGCGCCAATCAACACAATATAAAATTGAATTCGGTCGACTTTCGATAAAAAAAAATCCCACTCTCTTTGGAGAGAGGGTCGGGATGAGATAAATTGAGTAAAAGCCATAAATAAATAAATTCACAAAAGCGTACAGGATTGGGCCCTTGTTAAACCTCTTTAACAG